TTTATTCTTTGACTTCTTTTAGCTTTGATCACTTTATTTACTTTGTAGTTAGTCCTATTTGGGGAGGGCGAGGTGGCCAAGTGCCTGCCCTTCTGTGGTTGCACATTTGGCTCTTCTTCTGCTGCCTAATGGGTACTTGGTGGGCTTATGACACAGTTTACCAGCAGGAATATACGGTTTCACAGCAAAAATGCTCTTCAGGAACAAGTCACAACCGCGAGTAAGTTCACTGTCTGCTGTACTAGGTAAGACATGAGTTCACCAATATACCAACCTCGTCGTGATCGACGACGCGGTGATGACTCACACAGTGCAGGGTCACCGAGTGAGGTCTCATTGCCACGTTGAGTCAAGAGGTCCGAGGGTTTTATTGGAGAACTGTCGCAGGTCGCAGGATGATGGACGACGCCGAAGTGGACCGGGCCTTTCGATTTCATTCCGTGACTGTGTCATACACAGAAACCTTACGTGGTTGCCCACGTCGCGTACAAACTGTATAGGAGACAGCGTCAAACAAGAGAAATGAGCAACCTTCATTCGAATTATGGTTTACAAGAAGAGGTTTATTCTGGACTTTTAACCATGCTGTAGAATGGAACTTTGAATCTGCAATTTGCAATTTCCAAATGAATAGAAAACTCTTTACAAATTTACAAGTACAGATTTTACATTTGAGTATGAAATGCAAATACAGATAAGCATGAGAACTCAATTTCAACCTTGACAAACTATACAAGAGCAGAAGAACTCCAGCTAAGAATTTTTTGAACTTTAATCTTTCTCATTTTATATCACAAATTCTTTTTAATTCCATTTTACATATTTCAAATAAGTAAATCCAGTCTATTAAAAGAACCATTTTTGCATGATTTCTTTTAAACTATTTAAGTAAAGTACTTTTAGTACAAGCATGTTGGTATCCACTAAAAGATGGTGTATAACTAGTTAAAAATCTATCATTCCATTAGTGTAGATAATATATCTCTAGTTTAATGAGCAGGAATATTCTTGTGGTGATCCTAGAGACAAAACATATCTACTAGGTTGTAATCGTTATGTTATGAGTTGATCATCATAATATCTCTCAAATATATCTTCACGATGGAACTATCCTCAAACGCTATCTGTAACCAAGGGTCTAAGAGAAGTATGTGAAAATGGCCAACTGCTAAAGAACCACTATTGATGCAGTGTGTCTCATCGACCATAAACGTGCACTTACACACAAAATTGAAATGTTCTATCTCTTACAAATTCAAAGCACTCACTGTAAATCCAGCCTAACTTTTACATTATGGGTATTACGTTAATGGAGCTATAATCAATAGGAGCTGCTTGTAACAACATATTAAGATATTTTTTTACTTGTCTCATTCTCCAAAATATTAAAAGTCAACTGGTCACTGCAAGTAAAACTCTCATCCAAACGTATCAAAAAATCATTGTAAATTATATTATTATTTAAGTAGATGTACATAACTAATGCCCCAACGCAAGATCATATGATTTGTCGAGTCCATATGTGTTGTGAGTAGTTAGTATTGTATCTGGCAATAGTGGGCAGATTAGTGCCCACTTTTGTTAGACAGTGTAGTTGCGTGAAGATTCAAAAAGTATTCAGTTCTTTGAGTTGAGAATTCAGCGTTGGGAGTAGCTCTCAGTGGATTAGCTATGGTGTTTGGTTAGAATATGCCTAAATTCCCTAGTATTGCAGTGAACTTGACTGAGTTCTGTGTTGTTTGCCAATGGGAACTTTTCACTTGAAGATACATTTTTTGTATGTGTACAATCTTGTTTCATGTGTGTGTGAATATCGCATGTGAGCTATGTATGTTGTATGACGATACGTTTTTGCATGACGGATTCAATGATAGCTATATTTTTTTCAAAAATCATATTTTTATTATTGAATCTAGTAAAATATTTTTTATAATTTATGAGAGTATAAACCATGTGAAGAAATAGTGAAGAAAAAAATATCAATAATTCATATTTCTGAAGCAAATTATTTAGTGTTTGGATTGTATAAAGAAATATTTAGAAATGGATACATATATTAATGAAGGATTGATTTCACATTCTTTACATAAGGGTTATGCTACATATGTAAGTAAACCGTGTATTCCAAATAAATACTTGTAATAATAATAATAAAATATATACTTATTACTTATTCTTCTTGCGGAAACATGTTGTTTACCTCTTGAGGCTGAAGCTCTCTTTTTGACTATCACTTACGTCAAAAGAGTGAGATCACTTGATGCTTCTCGACTTCCTCTTGAAGCTTTGTGTGCCACACGTCCCAAGGGTTGGTTTGCAGATGTGATGACTTGTTCTTTGAGGTGGAATGTGACGGAACTCGATTGGCATTTGCAACCTATTGCCCTACGCGAGCGTATTAAGTAGGAATTTCTCAACATTATGTGGAGCAGACGAGTCACCAAGATGCAGTTTTATCAACTTCATGTGAATCCTATGCTTGTTTATTGTGAGTAAGGATACTTACTTGCAGAGATATCTACTTTTTTACTTCATATTATTGCTAGACATAGAATAGGATCTCATAGTCTTGGGATTGAAGAAGGGCGTTGGTTGAACATTGATAGGATGGAAGAAAAGTTGAAGATGAAGAGCATGTATTTCTTACTTGTACTCGATATGTAGAGATTAGAGTGGCTCATAAATTTGTTGTTGAGAATTTTTATTCTTTGCTTCAGCTTGACCCTTATGATTTAGTTTGTTACATTAGGGATGTTATTTGTTACCATTCTTGTGCTTTGGACACTAGCTAGGGGGTTCTTTTGGTTCTCTCCTTCTTTGGATTGGACTTTTTGTATTGTGTTATTTAGCCTTTTGACCCTTTGGGTCCCACGGGCTTGATCTATTTACCATAGTGTTCTATATATTCTTTAGTACGCACTAAACGTAAAAATTCAATAACATGGTTTTTCTAGTTTTCAGACAAATCAAATTATCTTCATGATGTGATTTGGGCTACTTTAATTATTATAATTCTTTCCTTCAATTAAGTTGATAATGCATACATTGAAATTATATTTTTCCTCCCTCAACTACTTCAATGTTAGAATTATCTTTACAAGTAGTCAAATTTGTTCAAATTGCAAAGTATGATCTTTATATAAGTTTATAAGAATATATATCAAAAGAGAATAAAAATTTCCAACATCCTAATACTCTGAGATAGTAATTGAATCAAACTCTTCGTTTCACTTCGGTAAGAATCTTAATATAATGATGAAAACAATGTAGAGAACAAACGATGGTACTCCTAATGATTAGATTGATAGATAGCCGAGTCTGAGAATATCATATGACATGGACACATGCAACGGGAACCCTCTCAGGTTTGAAGATATCCATATAGAATCAAGAATTCTGCTAATCTCATCCGTAGCATTTTGACATATTTTCAGACCCATCGACATATCATTCCCATTCCATAAAAATATCCTTACCGTTAAGTCCAACGCTTTTCAGGCTGGTTTTCGAGCATTTGGTGTAATCCATTGAACTGAATATTTGGATTCTTGCCTGATTGGATCAAGATAATCCACACCTAATAATGCAGTCAAATTACTCCCAAATTTGAACAGTGACGTTAGCGCTGGAGGTTCCTCCGGACTGCAATTATGATTCCCATCCTCCTTTTAGGTCATAAAATTATTGAAAACTTTAGCTGGAGGGAATCTGTCAAGTGTGTAAGACAATTCCCTACAATCTGTGCTAGCAAGCTCAATCACCTTAATCATATGTATGCAATATTGTGGTGCCTTCTGGAGCTCGCAGGTGGCCAAACTCATAGACAACAAGCTGGACCTGGACATAAGACATTAGTGCCCTCAAGTGAAGTAGTTTCTGGGAACGTGTCCAAAACGTGAACGTTCAGTGTCTCTTGCATGCCGTGAGAAGAGGCCTGTGTATGATTACGCAGAGCACAAGCTTACCACATGGAGATCTTCTCATGTTATTTTGGTGTTTCAGGACTGACCACTTGCACAAACTCTTTAACGATTAGAGATCATGGGCTCCGCTAGATGAAAGAGTTTGCCATACACAATTCTGATTAGTACAATATCCATTGGCTTGGTACTTGTCAGTACTGGAATTCTCGTTTTGCTGCTAGATGAATTCATGGCTATTTTTATGTTTGAAATTTTTCAAAAGAGAATTTTGGGATCCACCTACAGCAATTCTTTCACAATGATAGCCAAGAACGTTATAAACAGAAACTATGCATCAATAAAGACCAAATTTTACTTCAAATAACAAACTATACAGAAATCTGTTTATGTGTTCTTTTACAGCATCAAAAGAAATGTTACGGTTATAGTGCCGTATAGAGACAACTGCATATGCACTGGGCTGGGCAAACCAATAAAACCACCGTTCACAATGTCCGTGCAGACATCATCATCAAGTGAAGAGGAGGAATGGATCGGAAAGACTTGAGCTTATAGCTGATCTAGTTGAGATCACCCGTGGCAAAACAGTTGCTGCACCTTGTTTCTGACACTTTGCCACGCGCTGCAGCTACAGGCGGGAAAGCACACATGATGCTCCCTACATGGATTCCATGGAAGGAAACGGCCAAAGTAATCTGAAACCTTCTTGGGTATATAAACAGGCAATCAGAATATAGAAGAATATATCCACCGGAACTCAGCCAAGTGACCTGCTCTAATATCGGAGAGGCGTAGTGCCGTCAGAAGTAAGTTCCTCCCCAATTCTCGAATCGTTGAAGCTTCTTTGTGGCACTCAATACGAGCATCTGCGCACTTTCGCGAGCCCCTCTCTGTAACTAGCTAATAATATTACAGATGTCCATGTTGGAATCTGTGTGATGTGATTCTGGCTTCAGATGGATGATCTCAAAAACTGCAATATGTCCTAACAACTGCTTGGGGATATCATACTTTCTAGCCAAGCTCACTACGGATATGTTGGCTTGCAGATCTACACATCGAGATCTTTAAGGAATCATGGCCACCATGAAGCTCGTACTTGTCCTTATGATGACGACCATCGTTGCCGTCTGGGCTCGTGACCCCGAGCTCACAAACGATTTCGCCGTCCCAGTAGGAATGAATGCTTCTGAGATCACTGGAGATTTCTTCACATTCACAGGTCTCAGAAACTTCTCTGCTGCTCCAAACACCTTCGGCTCGAAGAAGGTTACACAGGTCGAATTCCCCGCTCTCACTTGACTCGGCGTGGGTGTGACCCTCCTCGAGTACAAGCCCAACACTCTGAACCCACCCCACACTCACCCCCGTAGATCAGAGCTCATCTACGTCATGTCCGGACACTTGGACGTCAGCCTCATCGACTCTGCCAACAAGCTGTACTCTGCCCATCTCCATGAGGGTGATTTGTTCGTGTTCCCTCAGGGTCGTGTTCACTTCCAGATCAACATGTCCAAGAAACGGAGTGTTCTCGCCATCTCTGCTTTCGGTAGCTCCAATGCCGGTACCATCTCATTGCCCAAAAATATCTTTGGTTCTGGTATCAAGGACGAGGTTCTACTTCAGGCTTTCAAAATTAACTCCGCCGAGTTGATGAAGTTGAAAGCTCCATTCATGCCAACTATGTAAAATCTTCAGAGGCAAGACCTGAACAAATGAGGAGGATAAAGTGCATCGTGCATGCTCAGTAATTTCGTATTCTCTGCTCATCAGCTTGTGCGGATGAATTTAAGGATGTTTCACATAAAAACTTTAGCCGATTTACCGGTAGAGATGCGCTCCCTATGAGAGAGTTTCAAATGAATGATGTTGTGGAAAATGCTACCTGGTAGTATATGTTCCATCTAACTCTGAAATAAACGGTAAAAAGAATGTCAAGGTTTTAAAATATTCCTGTCTTTTCAGTTTGTCACAGCAAGTTGCGTTTCACATGGTCTTGAAACGCTGATGGTTGTTGTTTCAAACACTCCAAACATGGAAGGTTCTGATGTACACATCGTTATCTACCAGCTATACATGGCAATGATAGAATCTCTTAATACTCCAGAAACTATTTGTAGACATTGTAGAAATTATTTATATTCTCTCGACATCATGATAATCTCCATCTTGCCATTCTCTCACTTGAACACATATAAAGCGAACAGTGAAAATGTGAATTTTAAGAGCTTGTCTTCGTTAAAGATTTCAAGACTCTGGCAGTCCTTGCAGTCATATCAACCCTCAATCGTCTCCAAAAAGCAGTCATATAGATGGACAAACTGCAGACACAATTGGCACATAAACCTCTAGACCTTCTGGATCTATAACGATTCAAAGCAATTATGCCACATCTTCCAGTACATCTCAAATTTAGTAACGAAATTTAGTAAAGAAATAATAAATCTACCCAAGTATTACTATGAACAGCAAACAGGAGATTGAAAGGCAATTACCAGTCTACGAACTCGAATGTGTAGGTGGAGGGGTTGGGAGGGGGCTAGGAAGAGATTTCGGGTCAACTTGTCGATAATCATGCTCCCAAAGCAAGACATACATACAATTCAAGTCCAGTATCTACCAAAGGTATCTTGACACACGTCCTATCATCTTCTACATTTCAGGGTTTTTCTTATCTCTCTCATACTCTGCAAGCATTGCTTAGTTGAAGCTTTCGTCATATAATCTAAAGTCACATCACAACATAGTAGTTTTCACATCACAATTGTTTTTTCCTCCGTCTGTGTCAACACTTCACCTATGATACTGAGATGACTTTGTCATTAAAACATTTCAAGAGTTTTGTCTGGAGACATATTCCGAAAATTGATACTGATTTAACTCATAGATAGGGTGCCTCAATTCTGTGTCTGGATGGCAATCATTCGCTAGTGTACGTTGTGTGTGTAGTATTCCTGCTGTTGTAAATGATCGCCACTTCAATACTGGTTGTTAAGCATGATAGCTGCCTTCTAAGGTTTTTCTACATTCCTACGTAGTTTTGTCACTTTCTATTGTAAAGAAAAACCCTTCATTGTATCTTCTCGACTGCCATGTGTTATCATATTAGCGTTTATTGATATGCAGCACACAAAGTGGGCTTCATACTAATTTAAGTTACAGAACTTCAAACTAGATTGTATGGAGATTATTATGATGTAGAGAGAATACATTGAGCAAACTTGTTATAATTTATATAGAGAACAAGGGGTTCTATATTGCCTATTTGTAGCTTGCAGAACACGATCTAGAAACTTCATAACATTCCAGTTATAATGTGTTTAAAATATGTGCCAGCAGTTTTGAATACCATGTGAGACAGAAGCTGTTGTGACAAATTGAAACGAATGTGAAACTATAGAACCTGGACTTCAGACTGTCCGTATATTTGAGAGAGGTAAATGGAACATTTAAACTACCTGGTAGCGTTTTCCCCAAAAACATTCACTTGAGATCCCTCACGGGGAGCAAACCTTTTCTGGTGAGACGCTAAAAATCTTCATAAAACATGTCCTAGAGTGATCCCCATCAAGCTGATGGACACAGTATACGAAAGTATTGAGCATGCAAAACGCACTAAATCCTCCCGGAGACATCAGTTATTTCCGCTGCAAATTCTACATGGTCGGCATGAATGGAGCTTTCAGTTTCATCAACTCCGCGGAAGTGATCTTGAAAGCCTTGAGGAGAACCTCGTTCTCAATTCCAGAACCGAAGATGTTCCTGGGCAACGAGATGGTGCCGGCGTTAGAGCTACCGAAAGCAGAGAGGGCGCGAACACTCTTCTTCTTGGACATGTTGATCTGGAAGTGTACAAGACCCTGAGGGAACACGAACAAGTCACCCTCATGGAGATGGGCAGAGTACAGCTTGTTGGCAGAGTCGATGAGGCCGACGTCCAAGTGTCCGGACAAGACGTAGATGAGCTCTGATCCACGGGGGTGAGTGTGGGGTGGGTTCAGAGTTTTGGGCTTGTACTCGAGGAGAGTGACACCGACGCCGAGTCCAGTGAGAGCGGGGAATTCGACATGGGTAACCTTCTTGGAGCCGAAGGTGTTTGGAGCAGCGGAGAAGTCTCTGAGGCCTGTGAATGTGAAGAAATCTCCAGTGATCATGGAAGCGTTCATTCCTACTGGGACGGCGAAGTCGGTTGTGAGCTCGGGGTCACGGGCCCAGACGGCAATGACGGTTGTCATCATAAGGACAACTACCAGCTTCATTGTGGCCATGATTCCTTACCGATTTTAAGCTGTAGATCTGCAATCCAACATGTCCGGAGTGAACTTAACGATAATGAATGATCTCCCCTATCAATTCTTCGAACATATTTCGTGAAATCGAATATCTGAGCTGATCGATCTGAAACCAGGATCACAACTCATAGATTTCCAAACGGAAGACATGTAGAATTACTAGCTGAGTGTAAAGAAGTTCTCACAAAAGTATGCAGATGCTCGTGTTCAGTGCAACAAAGATGCATCAATGATTCGACATTTGGGGAGGAACTTACATTTCAGGGTACCACGCCTCTCCCGATACTAGAGCAGGTTACTTATTCACTTGGCTGAGTTATGGAGGCAGATATTCATCTATCTTCTGAATCCCTCTTTATATACCGATGAGAGTTTAACACTGGTTTTGGCTGTTTCCTATTTATGGAACCCATGTACGGAGCAGAGTGTGAGCTTTCCGTCCTGTAGCTGCAGATCATGGCGAAGTGTCGGAAACAATGGCCAGATACTGTTTTGCCACGGTTTACCTCAACCAGCTCAAGTCCAATCGAACTTAGTATTGCGGATACTGTGTGTACTTCCCTATCGTTCGTACTCACTTGATGCTAGCTGTCAGTGCAGACATCATCAAAATTTGCCCAGACTAGTGCATGTGGAATTTGTCTGTTTTCTGCACTCCAACAATCAAACTGAGGGCTGAAGTCGAGTTTTACATACTGTAATTAGGAATAACGAGTCTCACGTGCTGGAAGCACGACCTTATGTCATGTGACAGGCAGTGCAATTCCGTGTTATCTATTCTCGGCATAACTAACAATAGCGATCTATTTCACAAATCCAACCGTATGGGGACAACAATAGTTATCATCTATATCCTTTCTTGTCTTCAGCGTATGTTTGGCCTATTGAACGTAATCGTTACACACATTACCTTTTCATGTCGACATTCCACAAGTTATACAGGATGGAGCCAAGAGCTATGATGGGCCTAGGCCCATGCAACTTCTACCTACAGAAGATTGGAATTTTTTGATGGGCTATCATATCCACTCTGCTACATTATTTCGTTTCTTATTAAAACAAAAACAAAAATGCAATAGAAAAATCTCACGTTCAAAGTTGCGCATGGGATTTGAACACCTGCATCAAGGGCAGGCTAATATCCAGAACTTCCATTCTACTGCAGAAGACCTTGGCTCTTACTTCCCGTTGAATGGATGCACTACAGAGCTGGATGGCAAATTTGCGTCACAATGATGAAATGGAATTGCGCAATGTATTGAGTGGCTGAAAACTGACCAGCAGTTGAGGTCTGGCTATTGCACCTTGGTAATACCATCTCGATGGACTGTCCTGGAAGATCAATGTTCAGAGGAGACTTAGACCTGCAATGACGTAGTGTGTGATGGAGTAGGTGTATTTCTCAACATTCCATATATACATATACTCTTTGTCTATCAACCATCGACAAAGTACGAATAATAAAATCATGCAAAATGAGCTGAAGCGAGCAATTAGTTTGTCAGCAGTATGTGTCCAGCAGAGTGACCTAGCGCCAGGCTTTGACTCATAGTTTGTCATTCGCTTGTTGATTCTCGTATTTCTCCATTCCTAATGTCAACTGTCACTTGTTTAGTCTCGTCAACTCTTCTTCCAAGAAAAAAATACGGACATTAGCTTTCCTCAAAAGAAAATTTGACTTGCAGACAAGAAAGGGAATAAAGTGAGGTGCGTATAAATGTACTATCTTTGTTACATCATCTTGTCGCTCATTCATTCTCGACGGAAGTATATTGTCATATTGCTCTCGAGAATAAAACTTATTAACATTCTAAGTCCAGTATACAGTGTCAGTTACTTTCCAATGAGATTGGATTCAAGCGTATGCAGCTTTGCAAGTCTTTACTGTTCAGTAGATAGCCCATCTGTTGCATATGAGTGGATTTTCATCACAGTTATTTGAGAGTATTATTTTTAAAATACTTGGCATTATAAATGTTCGGTAGCGATGACTTTTTAAAGCAATTTCGGCTAATAGTGCAGGAGTAAGTTAGCAAAGTGCTGACTTTCCATTATGGAAAGGGAGATCATTTAGGCATTTCAAAAGTAGCAAGTGTAAAGCCGATGAGTATGTTCATAAGAGAATTGGTTGATGTTGCAAATGATGGTGACGAGATTTCTGATCTTAGGAAGAAGTGATACATTGAAAGTTTGCTTAAAATTGCGTCTGCTACAACGCTTCTCTCAATTTAGATGCAAGAATCAGGATTTAGTGCCCGTGGAGAGCGGAGGATAAGTGGGTCTCGCGAAAACACATAGGGAGCGATGAATGTATCTACTTGCACAGCGAGAAGTCGACTATTTGAAAAGTGCCAAATAGTTAACTAATCACTGTGTGGGGCGCACTCATCCTCTAGTGGAGCCCATGGCCGACTCATTCAAGATTGTGTGCTACGAGTCAACCCTAAAACGCCAAATTAACACGAGAAGATCTCCACGTGCTGAGCTTGTGTTCTCAGTTCTCATACACAGGCTGCCTCTCATGGTATGCAACAGCCAGCCATTGACCATTCTCGTCTTGCACACGCTTTCAGAAACTACGTCACATGATGACACTCATGTCGCAAAGGGTCAAGCAAGTCCGTCTTGGTCCAACTTGTTTTATGTGAGTTTGGCCACCTGCGAGCTCGAGTGGAATACCATAATTTTTCTATATGTAGGTAAGATGTGATTCATGTAACTACCAACGAATTGGAAAAGAATAGTCTTCTACGCCAATGAGATTGTCTCCGATTTACAGACGAGTCTGGTATAATTTAGGTGCCCTCTACGGTATCCTAGCTTGAATGTCGTTGATTACATAAAGCATCAGTATTTACTTTTAGAAAAACATATATAGTTCGCATGCTATTCGACAACTCTAGCTTCTATGGTGTCTTTTATATTCTAACCTGAAATGCTCCAACACAACCTGCAAACAACTCTCTTCAGAAAATTGAGGTTTTTTTATTCTTTTCCAATCTAAACTTGAGTCCAATGCATATTCTTTTAGCTAAATTTAGCAAACATCTCTCTATGTGCAAAAAGCCACGAGTTTCCATTGGAGTATTGTGTTTCATACACCAAGGATTAAGTCTGATGATTGTTGAAGGGTTCCAACTACCTTTGTTAACAATTTGTAATGAAGACAACCCACAAACATGCTTTCAAAGCTAAATTTCAATATGATTTTACAGCCCTCCCTACATGGTCTAATTTGCTTTTTCAGGTCATTCATTTAGCAAATATTTCACCATAATATTGTAAGGCTCCATGACATGCTCTGACTCACTGCCTCAGTTCGTTCATTGTGTGAAAATGACACGGAATAGAGAAGCACATCTTTATGCCTAAAGTTAAAAGTAAATGGGTCCAAAAATCGGATAAAAACCTAGAATATCCATTGGGGACAACTTCTTTAGGATGCCATGATTTTGGTAAATGTCCTGAAAGAATAAGTTTACAGTAAAAATAGTAAAGATGGGGATACAATAATACTTAAGAAGAGCTGAATTTAAACGATTAAATGATATACATACCCTATGCCAAGGTCTAAGAACATGATAATGGAAAAAGGTAGGACTATCTATCTCAGAATCAACATGACTGGCCAACGGATATTGGCTCAAAATGTAGTTATACCGTTTCCCTTCGTATCTCAGATTGACAGTTGGGGTTCAATTTACACACAAAATAAATTGCACTCAGCTGAGCAAGCCTATTAATCCATCTAGAGTGTAAATAGACCGATGATCATCAAGTCAAGCGAAACAACAAATTCGGAAGTACGTTTCAGCAAGACTTACTTCGCTTGTACTTGAGCTAGTTGAGGTCAACCACATCACATGATGCTCCTTGTTTACGACATTCGCCACGCTCTGCAACTACAGGCCGGGAAACTCACACGATCCTCCGTACATGGTTTCCAATGGAGGAACAAGCCAAAACCAGTGTACAACTCTCTCGAGTATATAAAGAAGCATTCAACTTGATCTTGCTAAGTGCACGATCTCTCTCACCGGAGTCAAGTGAACAGCCAGCTCTAATATCCGAAAGCCGTAGTGCTCTCAAAGTAAGTTCCTCCCCAACTCAAGAATCATTGCTGCTTCTTCTTACACTAACAATGAGCATCTACGCACTTTCGGGAGCACAGCTCTAGACCTGGCCAGCAATTGTAGATTTTTCTGTATAATATGAATGTGTTGGAATTCTGGTGTCAGATTGATCAGCTTAGATACTTCCTTTTGTGAGATATGTTCTGATTACTGGATTGGGATATCGTTTATACTAACGAATTTCACAACGGACATGTTGGCTTGCAGATCTACCGCTCTATATCTTTAAGGAATCATGGTCACAATGAAGCTGGTCGTTGTCCTTATGATGACAACCGTCGTTGCCGTCGGTGCACGTGATCCCGAGCTCACAACCGACTTTGCCGTCCCAGTAGGAATGAACGCTTCCATGATCACTGGAGATTTCTTCAAGTTCACAGGCCTCAGAGACTTCTCCGCTGCTCCAAGCACCTTCGGCTCCAAGAAGGTTACCCATATCGAATTCCCCGCTCTCACTGGACTCGGCGTCGGTGTCACTCTCCTCGAGTACAAGCCCAACACTCTGAACCCACCCCACACTCACCCCCGTGGATCAGAGCTCATCTACGTCTTGGCCGGACACTTGGACGTCGGCCTCATCGACTCTGCCAACAAGCTGTACTCTGCCCATCTCCATGAGGGTGACTTGTTCGTGTTCCCTCAGAATCTTGTCCACTTCCAGATCAACATGTCCAAGAAGAAGACTGTTCGCGCCATCTCTGCTTTCGGTAGCTCCAACGCCGGCACCATTTCCTTGCCCAGGAACATCTTCGGTTCTGGAATTGAGGACGAGGTTCTCCTCAAGGCTTTCAAAATCACATCCGCTGAGTTGAAGAAATTGAAAGCTCCATTCATGCCGACCATGTAAAATCTAGAGCTGAAAGAACTGAAGTCTCCGGGAGGATGAAGTACATAGTGCATGCTCAGTACTTTCCTAGACTGTGGTCATCAGCTTGATGCGGATGTAGGACATGTTCCCACCAGAAGAACTGTGCTCCCTGTAATGGAGTTTTAAGTGAATGTGGACGTGGAAAATGCTAACAGGTAGTGTAGTGTTCCTTTTACCTCTGTCAAATATACAGACAGACTGAATTCAAGGTACAATTTTTCAACTTCGTTCAAATTTTCTTAACAGCTTCCATTTTACAAGGTCTTGAAAGCTGGTCTGGTATTTGGAACACTTTAAAGCTGGAATGTTCTGTTGTATCCTTATCGTGTTATGCAAGTTACACATAGCCATAATATACTCCCTTGTTATCCAGAAACTATTTGCAGTATGTACTTTGTATTTGCTCTACGTCATAATTATCTACATAAGATCAAACATCTTTTTCTCAACGGACTATGAGACCAAGATGGTTATAGGTGTTGCTACGTGAGAATATCATGAAAGGATGGTCCAGGATTTCATCTTTTAATACGGATGTATATTGGAATCAGTAAGTTGCAGAGTAACTTCAGAGCCTCGATCAAAGCACTCAGGATGTAAATAAATCATAGTAAGACATCCCCATACAAACCACAGGCTAATGAATGAACTGAGAAACTCACTTCTGCGAAAATTTGAACCAGATGAACAGACAATCATATATATCATTGGGACACGAAAGTACCAACTACCTTATGGGCATTATTCTAGAGAGAATATACAAGAAAATTCCATATGAGATAGATTGTAACTTTATGTTATCAAGAAGATCTTTCAAATGGATCTCTGTAGCTCAAAGACTTGGATGAAGAATTGTTTGCTACTAGGATGAATGTGTAGCATGAAAAGGTATACTAGTAGTAGACATTGTTTGAGTGAGACAATATAAAAAAAACAGAAGGAATTATGTAGCAATTGTCCCCTACAAACTTACTTGGGATGGAGTGACTTTCATGTGATTACTTGTTGCGTGCTATTTTTCAATCATGAAGAAGGATGACTTTATTCTTATATAAAAACTCAAGAATCTATCAATATTTTTGAGTTCATGAAAATATTAAAATTCTCATGTAGTATGTATGATTTATGTTTTTACATGGATTTGAGTAGGGTGATAAATTATTATTTAATCATGATATGGCTGAATATTAAAATCTTTGATGTCAATATTCTAATATTTTACCTTTATGACATGCTTATTTTAGCAACAAATCAATTTCAAATGAAAGATGTAGAAAATTTCAAGAGAGTTTTAGTGATAGATGTTTATTTGTAAGAAAAAAATGATATTGCTAAATTAAAACAAGTACATTCAACGTGTTGTTGATAGATTTAACATGACAGAGTTTTTAAAGTATTGGAAGCCAGATTTTAGAAGTACCCAACTAATTTGATAACACACTTTAATCTTTGTGCAGTCACAAATAATAAATGTCATTGGAAAACTAAAGATGTTATCAATTTTCTCTCACAAAGCAATGAATAGACTCATGTATTAAACGATATTGCAAAACACTTGGACTAGGTGTAAATGTCAAATCCATGAAAAATGCATTGGAAAGTTGTGAAATTGATTTTTAGATACTTCAAAAACACAAATGATTATGATATTATATTTGATGTCTTTTTATATCATGTAAAATTCTTACTATGCTATATTGATGTTAACTATGTACAACAAAAAATCTACAATTTTGTGTGTGTTTTGTCATGCCAGCATTATTTCGAGATTTATATTGCAAAAATTTGTAGCTAAGTTTCTAGCCAAAGCTGAATGTGCAAATATACGGATCATCAATATAGCATTTTAGTTGAATCAAATTATCACTAGGTTAACATCAAAGCAAAAGATTATCAATCTTCAATCTGATTGTTAGATTGCGTTACATTTTTATGCAAGAAAATTGATGAACAATAGATCGAAACAAATTGATCTCAAATATCAATCTATCAAAAACAAAAATTTGATAAAATGGTTTGAGCTAATTAATATTGACATTAAAATTCAATTTAACTTATGCATTGACCAAAATTAATGATTCAAACATTCGTAAACAACATTGTGCTATTTTGAAATTTTTGCATGAAGATTACAAAGAAAGCACACTACTTTACTCTATATGTTTTATCTCTATATATTTATATATGATTAATTTAACAATGTGCATTGATCATCTTTAGACAGATTTATAATTTTTTTAAGAATTTTTCATTAACATTTATTAATATAATATACATAAGATAATAATTTACAAAGAAAATAAATAATCAAAATTTTATAATTTTATAATATCAATTATATATTCAAAATATAATTGTTAACATTTTAAGTGTCAAATTTGATACATTATTTTAAAAGTTAGTTGTTAAAAAAATTTAGCAATTTGTTTGACCAATCCAAATTTTTTTTTACGATAATAATTAATAATTTTTTTAATTTGAAAATTTTCCAAAATTTTATCATTTTATGCCAATTATTTTAATCAATGGATAAAATATTTATAAAAAAATTTTCTACTTCATAATTTTACAAATCAAATAAAAACTGTATGATAATATAATATGAAGCTACTTCATATTTAATATTTTAACAACATGAGTTAATAGTGTTACTTTTTTTGTTTGAAATATCTTGTTTTTATTTTTGATTACTCAATTTTCATTTCAAATCATACAAAAATATAAATAAATTTTACACATTTTTCAAAACTTTAGCATTACTTCAGAAATTAAAGATTTTAGTAAGAAATTATTTTTTTACTAAATTCAAAAATTCAAGAGTGATTTGTTATATTTCATTTTTAGTGCAATACTTGTTACTCAAAGGTAATTTACAGACGTTTAATTGATTTGCAAAAATTTGATAAACTATATTATTAATAAAAACTGCATTGATAATTTGAGTTTATAAACAAATATTGACCTGTCTATTCATTTTATTTATCTAAAGCCTTCAAAATAATCATCTTGAATATTTAAACATTGTATGATGCTAAAAATTATAGCATTAAAGATAAAAATATTATGTATTTAAACTTTTCCAAATTTCTTATTTTTATTTTTTGTGTATTTATTGCTTCTTGTACACTATGATCTTCTATTCTAAGAATCATTTATAGTTTTAAATTTTTATTTGAAATTAATCTTAAATTTATCTTATCATTATCTGTTACTTTTAAGCCATGGTTTTTCTATAGCAAGTTTCATTCAAGCAAAATTAATTACACGATTGATCTTAATGGCAATATCATGACAATCATGCACATAAAAAACTTTCAATCTACAAGATTATAATAGCACATAATTTGTTACATAATCATGTTACTTGATCAGCTTGCTTTAGACTTGATATTTAATTCTTTAAACAAAAAATATTTTATTCACATATCTAACTTATCTTCAAAGATTGGTATAAAACATTTTATTTAAGACTAGATTGCAAATGAAAGAAATTGATTTGAAGATTTCAAAGTACTTGGTTATACAGTTTAATTATAAGTACTTTTTGTAGATCATTTTTTAAATTTCAAATTTTTTTTCTTTTGCTTACAATAATTCAATTGTTTTATAACGTTTCATGCAGAACGTTCTATACAAAATTCAATTGAATTTTGTGGCTCTTTCTTCAAACATTTTCAGATTTCACACATATACTTATGATCATCTATAATTTATGTGTAAAATATATTATTGACAAATTTTTTCAATGGCATATGTAATTGCTGCCAATCTAAATTTTCTTACATCTAGCTATACTTTTGCGTTTTTTTTCTATAAATTCTCATTTAAAGTCATTGCAATGTATTCAATATTTATGTGGATCATAAAGCACACATTCTTAATTATTTTGACGGTTAAATCAAATCAATGAAAAATCTTGTGAGGCTTTTTGAATCATTCAAAATATTATCAAGAATAATTCTGTATTCTCAATCACTATATAGTTGTAGAAAGGAGAACCAAAATGCTTAATTCCATCTCCATAGATAGAATGAGGAAAGACTCTCTCTTTTGTACAAATAAGCTAGAAATTTCAAGATGAGCTTAAATCAACATTCTCATATGGTGCAAATCCTAACTACAGCAATCTATAGTTAGATAAATCATAAGCAAAAATTAACCTAAGCTTAGTTAGTTCAAGGTATGGATTAGACACTAACAATCTCCCCGTTTGACTCATGTTTTGAAATTCATATGTTATCTTTAAAAGGTGTAAAAGATATCCAAAACATCCACTTTCTTGTAAACTAGGGTTAATCAAATCAAAATAGTTTTTGTGTATACATTAGTATATACAAAAACTAGGTATGTACTAGATCTAATTATTTATACTACCTAAAGTGTGCAAACTTGCAACTTGTCACAATGATTCTAAAAACTCTCCAAAGGAATCATTGTGGTAAAAGCATATGCCAGATTGAATTTATCGTTATTCTTAACAAGCTCAATCATCTCTTCTTGCATTGCTTGTCAAAAAAATATTGTCCAATGTCAACATGTTTTTCTCTACAATCCATAACTTGATTAGTTGCAAGGTGAATAATGCTTTAATCATCACAAAAAAGACAAAAAGTACCTTTTTTTTTTTTCCCATTTCCTTGAAAAGCTTATCCAACCAAATTGCCTACTTCAAAACTTGCACTGCTAGTACATATGTTGCTTCTTTTGTTGATTGTAAAATGCATTTTTTCAAGATTATCCTCCAACAAATGCATTCATCTTCAAATGTGAAGACATATACGGTTGTAGATCCCTATATTCAATACTTTTGTCACTCTAAATCTTGCTCATAATTAGCATCTACATGTCTAATCAAGGATTTGGCATAGTGTAAGCAACCGTCAAACAGTAAGTCAACATGCTTTGTACCCATTAGATATATAAGATTCCATCTAATTGCATCTAATGGACTTTATCAAGATTGAAAATGTATCTACTTACTTTGCATATATCTCGATTAATATATGATCTAGTATAATTGATTGCATCTCTTTCCCCATGACAACATTTCAATGAAACTTGTCTTCATAAGCTCAAGATTCATTACACAAAGAAGGTTTGACTTCTTTTAAGATGAACATGAAAAACTTCTTGCTTTTCAATGATATCACACCTTCAAGCGAAGAAGAGTTCCATACTGTTCACAATCTCTATTAGATCTATTTGAAGATGTCTAGTAATTGTCTCAACTTGATCTTGATCTTTTGATGCTATAATCAAAGTTTCATCCTCTCCTCAATAACTTTTTGCTCAAATACCAGCTCCTCTTGCATAGAATTTTCTTCCTGTGGCATGTCATTAAAAGTATAATGATTAATCTCCACCTCAAC